ATTTTGATCCATAATAATGCATGTAGATATCAGCCAGAATGGGACTGAGGGGGCTTCCCATGGCTAATCCCTCAGTTTGCTTGTAATATTTATTTTGGAAAACAAAATGTGTTTGTTTCAAACAGAGTTGAGTGAGAGAAATTAGCTCATCAATTTCAATGCAAAAGAAATGAAATTTGCGAAGTCTGGTTTCTAGGCATCTTAATGCACCTTCCACTGGGACATTGGTGAATAATGATTTTACATCAAAAGAATCCATGTGCAAATTACTAGGAGAAATATTTTTAACCTTTTTTACAAACTCTATTGAATTTTTATGGTGTAAATGTTACTGTCTAATAGAGTTGAAAATCTAGAAACTAAATATTTAGCTAATGGATACGAGGCAGTACCTAAATTTGATACAACAGGGCGGAAAGGAATACCACTTTTATGAATTTTGGGAAGAGCATATAATCTGACATAATTCGCAACAGATGGGATAAGTGAATGTTTTAAGTTGCCTGAAATGATTTGCGAAGATTTGATTGCAGTTTTTATTTTTGACAAGTCCGAAGGTGAAGGATCTTAAGGGATCGGATTATATGGTCCTTCGTTTAAGAGTTTAGTGACACCATCGATGTAAGTGTTCTTATCCATGACGACTATCTGGCCACCTTTGTCGGCCTTTGAAATGATAATATCCAGGTTAGAATAAATTTCGCGCATTGTAGCTCTTTCTCTCGCAGTTAGATTTGGTTTCAAAGGTTTATTATTGAATTTTACATTATGAGCGATAAGATGCCTAATCATTTCTTTCTGTGAATCTGAAACTTTACTCAACTTGAAAGCTTTTTCGATAGGAGCCAAATCTTTGGAATCAAATTTAACTTTTACTCTGTCTGAAGGTACTAAAGATGATTTAAATAAAGTTCTTTCAACAATGAATTCTATTGATCCTGCTATTCAGTTCACTTTTGAACTTAAGACTTGCAACTCTCTTCCGTTTCTCGACATTCTGGTCACACGTAACACATCCAACTTCAGTACTACGGTTTACTGTAAACCTTAATCGGTTTGCCTTCCACCACACTTTAAATCATGTCATCCGACTAAACAAAAGTAAGCTTCATTTTCTTCCTTTGTTTTCCGTGCTTTTCAAGTTTGCTCCTCCAAACTAGCCCTTGATGAAGAACTAAATTATTTAAAAGCAATAGCTATTGACAGGGGCTTTCCACCCAACATTATTAATCAAGCAGTTAAAAAATTTTCATCTCAACACACTAAAAGGCACACTCTTGTTTTAGGAGATTATAAAAATTCTGTTGTCATTTCCTTCTTTCCATCAATTAGCTATAAAGTTGCACATATTTTGCAGAAATTAACCTTTCGGTTTGTTTAGTCTCCCATCAATAAAATTCCGAGTTCCATACTCAAAGACCCCATTCCGGATGTATTTATATGATTCCTTGCCAGTGTGGTTTAATTTACATTGGCCAAACTAAGAGAGCCTTAAAATTTCGTGTCAAGGAACATGAGGCATATGTTAGAAAAAAGGAAACACAGAAGTCTTCTGTTGCTCAACGTTGTTGGTCCGAAAACCACACTTTCAATTTTTCTTATTTATAATTTGTTTCTACTTAATACAAAGACTGGAATATATTTAATCTTTCAAATAAAATGCAATTTACTAGCTAATCATAGTCATGTGTTTATAGTTAGTTAAAGAGTACAAATTAAAACATACAGGTAGCTCTCCTACAACATTGCATCCTGTAACACGGTTTCGCTATAATACAATTAATAAATTGCGAGAACCCTTCTACAACACGGTTTTCCTATAACACGTTTCGCTCTAACATGGTAAGAAAATTGCCCAAGCAATCCAAAGAAATTTAACGAACTCCGCACGGAATTTTCCATATTGTGCAAAGCACCCATATAGTCATCTAACACATAAGAATCATTGTTCCGTTAAGTTCTTCTAGTTGTCTTCCAAGATCCGGTAGTCGTAAGAATAAATGTCCCCAGATAACTATGAAGAAACTTCATTATCGCAGAAGGTGAACAACATGAGGTCACAACAAGTGCTCTAAAATGCACATCTGCACGTTTGGCTTGCAAAATTCGAATACTTGTCTCCATGGCCTGAAAACAAAAGTGTCTCACGCTGCTGGTCAGCAGTCTGCGTTGAGCCATGGTGAGTTAAAAAATAACTTTTTTGTCTTTAAAACATTAAGTTTCAGTCCCCAAACATGTCCGATGAAGATTTTAAAAAAAAAAAAAAAAAACGTTTAAGAGGAAATAAACAAATTTTTTTAGACGTACAGATACAAATCTTGGACCGTCGTTTAAAAGGAGAAAAGGCATATCACATTGGAAAAAGTTTTAATTGGAATGAAGAAACAGTCTGGACTATTAAGAAAAATTTTTTAAAATAAGAAGTGCAGTTGCTACAGGATCTTCAACACTCACAAAATGTGCAGTTTGCCCTCGGGGAGGCACCAGTAATTGAGAACAGAGTTTGTACGGTTCTTAAAAGTCCTTAATTTTGGCCTAAATCAGCAGAAGGTCCTTAATTTTAATCATCTGAAATTTCTCTGTTATTACGACTGCCATTTTTAGTGTGAATTAGCATTTTGGAGGAATATTTTTGGCGATTCAATGACATTTATGGTTATCTTTTGAATGGGTTCGTGGGTTCTCATTTGTTTCTAATATAAATGATGGGATACTTCTGAGTTTCAAGCAAGACTGAAACATAAGCATTTTGAAATTATTCCAACTTTTTCTAATAAAGAGCTCTTAAAACAACCTTTTCGCTTTTGGGGATGTGAATTCTTTTATTAAACGGTTCTAATTTGGCGAGCCTTATCAATATTTTGGCGATTTTAAGATCAGTTTCTATAGAAAATATTTAATTCCGAGATCTGAGAATTTTTTAAACGATTTTTTTTAAACATCTAACATTAATAAAGTTCATTAAAATAATGGTAATATATATTAAATTATATTTAAAAAATAACATTTTTATTTTTTGCAGTCATATTATAAAGTTTTATTTTGGCAACTTATTATACAATATTTTGAATCTGAAAAATAAACAAGGTATAATGCTATAAAGCACAATTTATGAAACAACTCTTAGCAAAAGCAAAATTAGCTATGTAATTAGTTAAAAATGTCTTCTTTTTAATTTTTTCATAGTGAGAGTTTTCCCCATGTAATTGTCTCAGAATATGCATCAGTTTTTCTCTATAAAATTAATTTTACACTTTTTTCTCCTTTTTTTTTTATTTTGTTCTAAAATATTTCTGGCTTTTTGCTGCTACAGAATTGGTAGGGATAATTTTTTTTAGGATTTAAGACATTGCAGCTTGGAAAGTTTAGAAGGATTTGAAAATAAAATATCTAGACCCACGATTCTAGAAGATTCCAGAAAAATGTGACAAAATGAAAAATGTCTCCATGGTAATGGATGGATGTATTCTGCAGAAAGTTTACGATGAATTTCTTACATTTTGGAAAACATCTGGAAAAATATAATATTTGAGTTTTTTACTTCTGATACTAGAATCTTTTTCTTAACATGTTTATCTTTCCTTTATTTTCCATACTTTTCACTAGACACAAACATGGAAAATATCAGAAGTGCTTCTAATCTTATCACATGGATAGGCATTACAGAAAGGAATTTTTCTCTTTATAAAGAAATTGAAAACTGACAATTTAAAACATTCATATAATGTCTTAATGGATCATACACAAGGCTAGTGCTTGCATTTTCTCACCTGACACAATCTATGTGAATCCTAAATCTGCTGCTTAGTGCCTTTCTAAATTCTGCTTCCAATGCCTGCTCTAAATTCTAAAAGTTTTGCCATTTCTAGATTTTGTTGTTCAGTGAGTCAATAAATTCTAAAAATTCTGCCATACCATCTCTGTAACTGGCCTTTAACATACATATTTAATATTTTTTTTTAATGTTCATATTACTAAAGAAATAAAATTAGCCACTTTTTCTATACATTCTAAACGCATTTAGTGTTTTTTAGAATAATAGAAATCCTTAATTAAATTCAAAAATTCTAAAAGGAAAAGGAAACGTGTTGAAGAAAGAAACTAAATACACAAAGAAAATTATTCTTCAAAGATATGTGCAGTTATTATTATGTAAATTATCCAATTGTTTAGGATTTCAACCTTTACTATGATTTCCCATTTCTGTTTCCTCATATGATAGAGTTATTGAGCTAGATTAAATTTTAATTAAAATTGTATAATCTTTGACCACTAGTCCACATTTTTAGTTTGAATTTGACTGTTCGTGTTTAATTACATCACCATGAGTTGTAATTGATTTTGCTAGTATCAGAACATGCCTTTATTTTGGAAGTTCTATTTAAATAAGAGACTTATTTAAACCTTTGTGTGATATTGTAGTTACTTTCAGATATAGCGATAATTTGCTTCATGTCTGTTGGACGTTTTGGGCTACTATTTAACTTTTACCAGAACAAGTAAACCCTCATAAGTACATTGTGGAGAGGTTGATAAGTTAGAAGATAAATCACGCAGAAACTAGAGAGACCATTGGTTTGCATATTGAGACAAATCTGCAATTGTTAGGAAAGATGTTTAAAGAGAAGGAAATTGATATAAACTAGTCAAAATGTTTTGGAAGGCTTCAAATTAAAAAGACGCATAAATATTTTGTTGAGTGTTGTTGTTACAAAACATATATATTTTGAAAACAACATTAAAAGCTACAAAAAATAAATGTTTTGTAGCTTTTAATGTCTTATTAAAGGATGGATTTAATCATAAAACAAACATATTGTATTTTACATTAATTCAATTATTAAAAATAATTTATCAAACTGAAGCACACAAAACTATTACAGGAGATAAAATGCCTTAAAAATCAATCCTGATAATTACCAGTTTTCATCATTGCTAATTAATAGGATCATTTATTTAATTTGTCCAATTTTAAAATTTGAAAAAATTCATCATTCACATTTGTTTATAAATATGGCATTTATTTGCATTATAATATAAATAATTAAATGCATTTTATACCAAACATTGAATATTTTAAATTATTCTACAATGCAGTAGTAATAATTAAAAGGATATTCTACCAAAAATGTATTATTGTGTAAATTTAGCATAGTCAAATGACAATTTCAATCCTACTAAAGGTCCAAACACACTTAACCAGCTGATAACATAATTTGAAGTTTGAAAAGAATCCATCAGGTTAGCTGTATAGCAAGGATGTATTATGAAGCAAGGAATTCCTGAAACAGGATGCTCTTGTTCGGTGATCATCTGCCACTTTTTTGCATGCATAACATCTTGATAACACTCTGGTACTTGTTCCCAGATTTCATGAAGACTGAGAGGTTTGCCATTTTCATAATAAGCATTAAAATATAATACTGGAACAGAATAACTATGGCTGTATAGAATATAGTATCTATGTACAGAAAATGATGAATGAAGTGGTATGTCATTTAAATCAAGGTCATTAATTTGAAGTGCCCTGTTATTGGGCTTGATGATTCTCTTTTCTAGATAAATATTTTCATTTGTACCATTTTTCAAAGTCCTGATAAGCCATTCGTCTCCTACAGAAGTAGAAAAAGCTGCTAAATCTTTTGCAGATTTTTCGAACTCTTCATAAGTAAGAGTCATTTTTATCTTCGAAGATGCACTTCCAGATTTGTCTGTCTGAACACAGTTTGAGATTTTCATTGCGATATCATTTTTTCAGAATGTGTCCTAGTCATTACATTTTTCATATAACTTATTTCATTCGTTTGATGCATCGAATTTTCCTAAAATAAGGATATTTATTAAAAGTATTTTCCTGGGAAAATATGCAAACATATAAATTATATAAATTTGATCTGCTCATAAAAATTACTTAAAATAATTCAGCTTTTAGAGAGAAAAAATACAAAACATACTTAATAGAAGAAAAAAAAAAAAAAAAAAATTATTAGCAAATTCATTTTTACCTTTTCTTTTCTTTGGTACTAAATTTGAAAAAAACATTACCAATTGTTTTATGTGGCACAATAAGCTTTATTTTGGAAACAAAACACACAATTTTTTCATGGATTTAGACCTGTTCAGCATTCTTAGCACATTACTAATTTTAATACACAGATATGTATTTAAAATTCGTGCAGACTTTTTTTAACTATTTTTTTTTTTATATACTTCTATTCTTTCTTTTGCCAATTTGGTGTTGGCGACAACTTTCAAAATGGCGCCAAGGCCGTAGCATATACTAGGATCCCACCCATAAATACTGAGATTAAACTGACTTAAAATTAACTTTTTCATTTTTAATCACTAATTTATTTAAACACATTTCTATTCATTAAATTTAAATTTGGGACTTAATTTCACTCACATGTGAGTTTCGATGAGATCTTTCCTTCCATCAAAGCTATACATACAGTCCAAGTATTCTTTCATACAGCTTTGTCAAAGAATATGTATTGTACATAGACGAGGGAAAGTGCAGAATCACTCACTGCTTGGCGCGTTTTTAAGAATTGCACATACTCGGTATCCATGTACACATCGACCTATTTTCACTTAAAAAAAAATTCCCAGAATTGCACAAAAATGGCATTGCGCACTCCCTTGACTTTATCTATGTACACATCGACCTATTTTCACTTAAAAAGTTAAAGAAAATTGACAAAAAATCCAATTGTTTTTACTCTTGTAAAAAGCGCCAAACAAATAAGTGGCGATTCTGCACTTTACCCCACAATTTTTAACATTTTATTTACATAAATAATTATGAGACATGCAAATGTTTTCGGTAGCTCTACACAAAACCAAAATAAGAAGTCAAAGAATTGCACAAACTTTGTGTCCATGTACACATCGATCTCTTTTCACTTAAAAAAAAAAAAAAAAAAAAAAAAATCATAGAATTGCACAAACTAGGCATTTCGCACTACCTTAAATTTGTCCATGTACTATTTTCATTTAAATAAAATAAGGAAGCTAAAACAAAGTAAAAACTATCATGGTAACTTAAATAAAATAAGGGTAAGGAATAAATATATAAAGGAAGCTAAAACAAAGTCAAAACTATCATTGTAACTATCATGGTGAGGTTTCAATCGCCAAAATTAAAAAAAAAATTGTCGCTAATCGAAGGAGCACCCAATTCTACACAAGAGCCAAAATGAACACAATTACAATTTAAATTACACTTAAAAGTCATTAAAGAAAAGATGAAGACTTTCATAAACACTCACCGGCACCCTAAACGGATTTAAACAAATTAACAAAAAATAACAATCTTTACAAAGATTTAAAAAATAGGAAACGAAATACAGCGTTTTCAAATTTTCGTAGGTCATAAAGCACAATGATTGTTTTACATTTGATCTCTGACCTCACCATTATGCATCGGAAACTTAACTATTACTTTAGACAAAAATTTCTGGCAACTCTGCGTTGGCGGAAGTTCAAGTTGTCTTTGTACTAATGTCTAGTGTAGCTGTTAAGAAGAAAGTATTAGTATTATATTGTGAGCTTGAATTCTTGTTATTAATTTTAAATGCATGGGGAAAGTGTAGAATCACCCACTGCTTGGTTCGTTTTTAAGAATTGCACGTACTCGGTATCCATGCACACATCGACCTATTTTCACTTTAAAAAAACATCCCAGAATAGCACAAAAATGGCATTGGGTACTCCCTTTACTTTATTTATGTACACATCGACCTGTTTTCACTTAAAAAGTCAATGAAAATTGACAAAAACCAATTCTTCTTACTTCTGTAAAAAAACGCCAAACAAGTAGTGGGCGATTCTGCACTTTGCCCAAATTGTGAATACCCATATATATAGTGTGTGTAAGGTAAAAAATTTGTAAACTAAAGTTTTTGACTTCAGTTTACAGTAGTCTGTTAACTGTTCTTTTTAATATGGCTATTTCCCCTTTCTGTACTAAAAGTAGTAACTACTTGCAATAGATGGTTCTGAACTGCGTCATTTCAAAATTAATGACATATGATTCTTGTATAACACTCATTGCACATATGCATACATATTACTTACAATGATGATTTCAAATTTGGGAACCCAAACTTATTAACCAGGAGGATTAATCTGAACCAAAACCAATTAATTATGAATAATGCTTTTATCTTAGACATACTGTATTCTTGTTCTTGCTGCTGTGATGCAAGTATTACTGCCTCTCTTTCATCAGTTATGTTCTCATAATGGGCATAAATGTGATTTAAAATAGGCATGCAGATTGTGTGCAGATCGCATTGCAGGATATTGTTCAAGTTAGTTAATATAAAATAGTTTAATATGCTTCTCAAGAAATAAAATATGTGTATTAAGCCTCAACAGGTGCTGTTATATCTATGTATCAATGCTGTATTATTTTCATGTCATTAACATTTAGATCATCATATGTGTACAAATTCTAAAAACCAAAATATAAGTGGGTGTAAGATAATTTTAATTTTGATCTTAATCTCATTTTCAATTTCTGGCATAGGTGCCATACTTTAATTATAGTTAATTAATCTCCAATAGTTTAATTAATCTTGCAGCCATAAAATAATTTTGGCAGAATTTGAAATAAGTGACAAATGGGAAAAGTAGGGACATTTCTTGGAAGACTGAAGTTATCATTTGAATCTGTAAATTTTTAGTAAAATGTAATACTCTTTTACTAAGCTGACGTGTATTTATTTTATGTCTTCTTTTAAACCAGTTAAAAATCGCCGGGCTAATCTCAGTCTGTTATAAATTTTATGGCTGCAAGAGTAATTTCATTTCTCTGTAATAAGGCATGCATTCAATTTTTTTTTATGTTGTTCACATGAATTTTGCATATTGGAAATTTTTCTGCTATTGTTCTATGACTATTATTTTTGAGAAATGTTATGAGTGCATTTTTTAAAAATATTATGAGCATTATTATAGTTTTTCATGATATTAAATATGTACGCATGTGTCTCCATTAGTATATTTTATCTAAATCAGAAGTATGAACTTCACATTATGCATGCCTTTCATCTAAAAGTATTAGTCTTTTGCAAATGTATAAGAGGTTAGGTTATTTGTTGTCAACACACAAGTATTATGTCAGATTCAAATTTCTGTGTCAATCCGATATTTGTGTTTAATGTGTGTATATTATATACTCTATTTTTAAAACAATCCTACAATACAATCTTTACAGAAGTACAATTTTTTAACGTGGGCAGGCGGAAAACATGATCATTTTGAGTTTTACATTAAATATTATAGTTTGAATTCTTGTGGTTTAAAAATATAAAAAAAAAAAAACTTTCTTTAAATTGTAGATATTATTTCAAGCGAACTAAAAGTAGTATGATAAAATTCAGTTTGGTTTATATAATTACAGTAGTATAACAGTTTAAAATTTTACAGCTAAAAGTATGTATCATAGCTTAATTGAAACTTTGATTGGTATTGTTCTGTTATCAAAACTGGGTTCAGAAATGTATATATATGTAAGATATAACAAAATATGATAGCTTTTTCAAAAAAATACTTTGATGATCTGCATCTAAATTCATCTCTTCTCACAGGTTCCAGATTTTTCTATCTTACATAACGTTTTAATGCAGATTCCTCTTTTCCATTCAAATTAATTGTAAACCAAAACTCTGAACTGAAACTTTTCCGACTCCCACCCTTCTTCCTCTGAAGTTCTATGATACTCTTCCCCTTTTCCGCATAAGCTTTCCTGCCGGCAAGATGCTTTTCATGCATGCTGCTGCCACTTACTTGCTTAAAACAATGTTATACTTCAAAATGCAACTTCTGTATTCAAATATAATTAGGAAACATCTTGTCTGAAGAAAGAATGATTTGATATACATAAAAAAAAAATATTGATTGTGATTTTTCAAGATATGTTGTGATAAATGCGTCATCATGCTTTTCACTCTGCCACCATCAAGTCTTCTCGGTCATCAACGTAGTATGACTGAGCCAGAAGCTGTTAAAGTTCCAATGCCTTTATCTATGCATTTTGAAATCCATTACATATATATGCATGTATATATTGTAAGTACAAATATATATGTATGTTTACGTATACACATGTATGCACATAGATATATATACATACGTTCAATACATTTCTGAATCTCATCCCAATAACAGAACAACCTGATAACACTTTGATTATATGTTTTTTTATTGAAATGTCTTTTTTTTTTAAAGGTTCATTGAAAGAAGTATAAACAGGGCTATCTTCTTTAATGATAACCTTTGCACGTTAGTGATTGAAACAAGTTTATGAACTTAGGCTAGTATGGGAACAAGTTTATGGACTTAGGCATAAATGACAATTTATTAACCCCTTAACTGATGGGAAACGTACAAGATTCACTCCACAGTACCACTGTTTTCACACAGGCACATAGTTATGCCATGTATTAGGGAGGAAATAAGTGCAAAAACTGTAGACTTTCACAAAGTAAAGAATAAAAGAAAAAATGAAAATACAAAATTTAGAGTAAAAGTATAATAAAAAAAGATGTAAGTATTATAAAAATGATCCAAGAAAATGGAGTTTCGATCAATTTATTTTTAGACCAGTAAAGCATAATATCAGGTTTCAGTGTTATACCTTGTAAAATCAGTATACCTGAAAAAACATAGGTTGATCTTTGGATTATGGTAACTTGGTGATTTTTTGGCGACCAACTCTGCTACAGCAACCCCTTATTTTTTTTTTTCGCTGCCATTTTGTCTTCATGAAGTAAAGACATGTTTCTTTTCTTTTTATTTACTCAACACTTTTTCCAACAATCGGCTAGCCGAATTGCACTTATGCTAGAAATTTTATGGAACAAAACTGCTTAATCAGGACAAATTTTAACTGCAAAATTGGGAAAACGTGCAGAATCGCAAACTCCTTGCCGTGTTTTTCAAAATCGCACATACACAGTAACCATGTACACATCGACTATTTTTTACTTAAAAAAAACATCCCAGAATTGCACAAAAATGGCATTGCGCACCTCTTGACTTTATCCATCTACACTGCTATTTTCTCATAAATTACAAAAATTTGCACGAAAAGCAGGAAAATTTGTGAATCTTTAAACTCGGGTAAAAAGCACATATATGAATTACCTGATCGCGAAAAGTATATACCCTATCCAAGGATGAACATTCCACGTATATATGAATAAAATATCAAAAACTTTTACCTCTAAATTATTTATTAGAAAACATCACCAACAAATTCATAACAAAACATTAAAAATGGTTACAAATATTAGTGTCAATATTAAATTATGCCATGCACATTTACTTCCACTCAAATGTATACCAAATGCTACAAACATAGAATTCACAAAATAACTATCATTTAATTAAAATATATGAAAAACCATGTACACGTTGACTTATTTTTACTTAAAAAAAAAAATCAGAATTGCACAAAAATGGCATTGCACACACTCGTCACTGTATCCATGTACACTGCTTTTTCTCATAAATTAGAAAAATTTCACGAAAATGCATGAAAAATTTTTTGTGAATCCTTAAAATCGGTAAAAAGGACATATATGAAATTACCTGATCGCGGAAAAAGTAATACCCTTTCCAAGGATGGACATTTGCACGTATAAAATAAATAAAATATCCAAAAACTTTTACCTCTAAATTATCTATTATAAACATCACCAACGAATTTATAACAAAACATTAAAAATGATTACAAATACGTAGTGTCAAATACTTAAATCCTTTCCATGCACATTTACTTCTACTCAAACGTATTCCAAAATACTACAAACATATAACTCTCAAAACCACAATCATTAAATTAAAATATAATTAAATTAAAAAACGCGGTTGATCTTTGGAATATGGTAACAGGTAGTTTGGAGGTGATAAAGGTTACTACCTGGGACTTTGGTAATAATGTGAGCAGTACTCAGTTCCGATTACGCATTATTTTGCGTGAGGGAAATGAGAGATCATGGGATATGTCATGTGATATTAATGGACGAATTACGGTTCTTTCATCGGAAAAGGGGGGGAAAAATCTGGAAATTTTGTATTTATCTTTTTTCTGTGTTGTGTGAAACAGTGTTGGTTAATTTTTGGATGCCATGGCCCTAGCTAAAGTGAATTCGAAATGGGTATTTAGGCATTGTGATAAAGAGAAGTTTGCTTTTTATTTAGCGAAGGAAGTATGGAGGAAAAATTCGCATAAAAAATCTTTCAATAATTTTATTGAATGAATTAGAAAAGTGTATCCGCCACATAATCAAGATTCTGAAGAAGATTAGGTGTTAGTTATTTTTAATTATTTGAGGATATATTTTTATGCATTGTTCTAAATGTAAGGTGGAAAGGAATTTGGTATTATTCGGAAAATTGTTATTAGCAATGATTTAGTTTAAAGTAATTAGGATTGTAAGGTAATTTTATTAATTTAATGTATGTGCTCATTTATATTTTAAGTAGTGTTTTTGAATTTAATTATATTTTAATTAAATGATAGTTATTTTGTGAATTTTATGTTTGTAGGAATTTGGTATACGTTTTAGTTGAAGTAAACGTGCATGGAAATAATTTAAATATCTGACACTAAGTATTTGTAATGGTTGCGGTATGAATTCATTGGTGACGTTTATAATATAATAGATGATTTAGAGGTAAAAGTTTTTGGATATTTTATTTATTTTATATGTGGGAATGTTCATATTTGGAAAAGGTAAATACTTGTTCGCGATCAGGTAATTTCATATATGTTCTTTTTACGGGGTTTAAAGATTGAGAAAATTGTCATATATTTTCGTGAAATTTTTCTAATTTATGAGAAAAAAAGCAGTGTATATGGATATAGTGAAGAGTGTGCGCAATGCCATTTTTGTGCAATTCGGGGATGTTTTTTTAAGTAAAAATAAGTCGACGTGTACATGGTTTAATGATATTTTAATTAAATGATAGTTATTTTGTGAATTTTATGTTTGTAGGAATTTGGTATACGTTTAAGCTGAAGTAAACGTGCATGGAAATAATTTAAATATTTGATACTAAGTATTTGTAATGCTTGCGGTATGAATTCGTTGGTGACATGTATAATGTAATAGATGATTTAGAGGTAAAAGTTTTTGGATATTTTATTTATTGTATATGTGGAAATGTTCATATTTGTAAAGGGTAAATACTTTTTCGCGATCAGGTAATTTCATATATGTTCTTTTTACCGGGTTTAAAGATTGAGAAAATTGGCATGTATTTTCGTGAAATTTTTCTAATTTATGAGAAAAAAGCAGTGTACATGGATATAGTGAAGAGTGTGCGCAATGCCACTTTTGTGCAATTCTGGGATGTTTTTTTAAGTAAAAATAAGTCGGCGTGTACATGGTCTATGTGTATGTGTTATTTTGAAAAACGCGTAAGGAGTATGGTATTGTGCACTTTTCCCAATTTTGCAGTGAATATTTGTCATGATTAAGCAGTTTTTTGTTTGATAAAATTTCTAGCATAAGTGTAATTCGGCTAGTAGATTTGTTGGAAGAAGTGTTCAGTAGAATAAAAGAAAAAGAAAAAAGAAACAAATGTCTTTACTTCGTGAAGACAAAATGGCGGCGGAGAAAAAAAAATAGAGGGTTGCTGTAGGAGAGTTGGTTGCCAAATTTTCGCCAAAAAATCGCCAAGTTACCATAATGTAAAGATCAACCAAAAACGCTACTTAAAATATAAATAAGCACATACATTAAATTAATAAAAATTAGCTTACAATCCTAATTAAACTAAATCATTGCTAATAACAATTTTCCAATAATGCCATATTAATTTATTTACCCCTTACATTTAGAACAATGCATAAAAATAATATCCTCAAATAATTAAAAATACTGACTTTCCTAATCTTCTACAGAATCTTGAGTGCATGGTGGATCACAAAATGTCCATTTTCACCAGGTTTCTTGCACCACCATTCAAACTATCTGTAATATCCTTCCTTTCACACGATCTCATTTCATTCCCACATATTGGACATTCATACTTATCCGCAACTAAGCAATTCTTTTCAATTACACATAAACGTAATAAAAATTTCGGATTTGCTTTATATATGGCCATGGGATCCAAATATTAACAACACTGTTTCACAGAACATAGAATGAAACTACTGCTATAAAGTACAGCAGATATTTTTACAAATATACCCCCTTTTCCGATTAAAGAACAGTGATTCGTCCATTAATGTCACATGACATATCTCATGATCTCTCATTTCCCTCACACAAAATAATGCATAATCGTAACTGAGTACTTCTCACATTATTCCCAAAGTCCTAGGTAGTAACCTTTATCGCCTCCAAAATGTCGCCAAACTACCTGTTACCATATTCCAAAGATCAGCCAAAACATATATTTCTTCTGAATTGGTTAGATGCCATGATTTTATTTTTGAATTTCTTTTGCCAGATGTTGGTTCATGTGCTGGTCTGCAAAATGATTAGTTTCAGTAACAATATGAAGCACGAGCAGTTCATCAAAAAATAGTTCAAAAAAGATAAGTGGGTGTTTGAAATATCCGTTATTATTCCTGGCACCTACTACAAAGAGTAAATGAAAACGGAAGACACAGAATTAAAAAAATATGTTTTACTAACACAAAAACACGAGCAATAACCACACAGTCATTTCTTTCACCGTTTAAGAAACATCTCGGTCTCCAATTCCTCCCGTCCTCTTATCTGAAGTAGTACTCTCCTTCATGTACTCTCTGTGGAGCATTGTGGTGTTGTATTCCAAAGCTTTGCGAGTGATTTTACTGGTAGCAGCACAAAGCAAAAGATAGTATTTCGGAAGGGCGTATATATATGCCCGGCAGTTAACACATCGGCTGAGGGGCTACGGCAGTTAAGGGGTTAAGTTCCCATTCTTTCTACTGGAATCTAAAATATTTTAGTATACTATTGCAGACATTAATGAGCATGTATATAAGGTGTATCAGAAAAAGTGAGCAGAATTTTTACAGTGTCGGAAAACGCAGCCATAAAGCAGTATTCATCATAGAATGTATTGTCGGAACACAAGGAGTGACAAGTTTAAAAGGTAGTTTTCCTCTGTCACATTTAAAGATTCAACACAAGAATGAGAAGAGATACTTCAGAAAACATTTTATTAATGGGAATGTAATTGAAACACATGATGATAGAAATTGTTCAAAAGATCTTCCGTCAGCTGTAATGCAGGCTTCACACCTGCAGCTTGATCCTGGTGACTAGATCCATATTCATATCAGTGGGGAACACTTGTAGAATAGGCTTTTCATATAGCCCTACAGGAAAAAGTCCAAATACCAGAGATCCGGTGATCTTGGTAGCCAAGCTCTGGGACAACCTCGACCAATCCATTGTCCTAGGAATTTTGCACATCCAAGCTGAAGTGTGCAGGTGCACTGTTGTGCTGAAACCATATTTTTGACTTGATGGGGGTTGGAATCAGACGCAGCAGTTCCGGCAACATTTCTCGTAGGAATGTGTGATAGGATTTACCCTCCAGGCAATGTGGCAGGAGGTAGGGACCAACCAAATGGTCATAAAGAATCCCTGCCCAAACATTATGGAGAACCATTGCTGTAACAAATGACAATATGTGGCATGCGACAAAACATGTGCACTGAAATCCGGCTGTTCTGCATTCTGATGGAGGTACCAACATGAGAAATCGACACATGGACGATAGTTCACTGGTTATAAAGCTTGTATCTTTTGTGTTCAATAGAGATGCATTCGTTCTTCACCATCACCTGGGGCACGTTTGCAGCACAGGAAACTGCTTGCATGCTATATCCCAGTTGACCTTCCACCCTACGTAAAATGTCCTCTGCAAGTTTTGGTGCCCTAACACTTCTTTCACGCCCTGCGTCTTGCTTGGCTGCGACAAAGGATCCTGTTCTACGTAGCTGCGAATTGAAACATTTGAATGTTTTTCAACTGGAGTGCGTATCGGAATCCGGTCCCAATGAAGTCTCTGTGCCTTACTCGCATTTGGGTCCAACTCACTGTACATAAAGTGCATATCCGCCATTTTGTGCTTTGTATAACCAGCCACCCTTTCGGCAATCCATGATAGAAAATGCAGTTGGGCATGTGGATTGACCCTTTCTGTACCATTTACAATGCAACCTAGCAGTTCACTGTTTGCATTCTGTCCAAACTTTCTATGATGATGTGTAGCTGAGTTCTTCATCCCTTAAAGTTTTTATCCCACTTTTTCAGATTCACCCTGTATTTAATATTTAAATGTACTGATTTAAATAATGACATTTAAATTAAATACAATAATATAAAAATGTTTTAATTAGATTTTTCCCTGATGTATAATAAGTATATTATTTAGCAGACTTTTTTCGAATATTTTACCGAATGCTTTTTGAATTTAATTCATTATGCTCAGTATGCTGTAGTTTTCAGGTGAAATGAAATGTGTACGAGAAATTTTTTTATGATAATGCAATTTTTAAGACCTATGTAATTCTTTAATAGTGTGAATCTGGCCAGCGCTAACTGGTGATTTATTACTGGGTTACTGTGTGCAAATGATGGAAGATCTTATTGAAGCATTTGCTGTTTCTCAGGTTACTGTGCAGCCAAACTCCACGGCTACAGAACATCCACATTTTGCTTTATACAAAGCAAAACATAGTACAGTAAGCCAAGAAGAGAGGAGAAAGAAGTTTTTAGAGGCACAGAGAGTGTATGTTTGTTACATAGTAAATTTCTGTTTGTTTTTAAAATTCTAACATGATATTATTTCTAACAAGTATTTTAATCATTTGAAATGATTTTAAGAAAATTGTTATGAATTAATTATACTGTACAAAGTCGTCGGGACTTCGGTAATTTCGGATTAGGTGTTTTTCCAGATTATAGATCATCAATTTAAATCTGGTAAGATGGCATGCAGAAATTATGCAATTAAAAATATAAAATCATAATTTATGAAATAAAGAACACTTATGATCTAAAGGGTATCAAAATAAAAAAAAAAAAAAAAAAAAAAAAAAAGCTTAATATTTATTTGTTTACTTTATTAAACATTTCTTTCAATGCAAGTTGTCTAAGGTGCTTCCACAAAAAATTCCAAAAGTTCCTTTTTCTTTTTTCTTGTGTCATATACAGTGGACTTTCCAATGCCATACTCCTCGCATAATTTTGAGATGGATATGCCTTTATCCATTTTTTGCAGCAATTCCACTTTTTGTTTAATGGACATTGAACTGTCCTGTCACTTTGTAGATCCTTTGGCAGCTCCAGAATTGGAAACTCTTTTTGACATAATCAAAAGTTCAAGCTTAATTTTTATAAAATTGCTCTAACAGTCTGCAAAAGATAATAAGCTGGATCCAATTAGAAGATTAAGGAACAGCGCAATCTGCAACATTAACTTATTGCCTTAGAATCAGTAAAGATAATTTTAGCCTAGCTTATACTGTCCGTTATACGTTAAACGCACATGCGTAAAGCATACAAAAAAAAAAAGTTTGGCTTCGAGGTACGGATTATAGATCATTCCGTATAATGGACGTCCAGATTACGGACTTTGTACTGTATCTGCAATTTGAAAACAGTTGCTTTGTTGGTATATATTCTTCTATGACTGAGTTGTAATAGTGAATTATGCTTTGCATCTTGAACAGAACCTTGATGTGCATTAATAAATATTACTGAAATTTGGCATTGGTGCAATGATGGAAATTATGCATTAAGGTACATTTAATGATATGTCAATCCTTTTTCTGCCACTTTCATAATTATTTTCAAAATTAAATTTATGATAAAATTAATATGAAATTTCATGTACGACAAATGTGTAAATTTATGATAAAGAACATTGCATTAAACATAATTTTCAAATTTTTAAAAAATAACAACAAAAGTTTTAAAATGCCCATAAGAAAATGCCTAAAATAGTTTTTCAGTGATTTAAGGCATTTCTTAAATAGTGTTTCAAGTTATTTATAAGTAAAAATAAATTAAAAGCGTTTCTTTTTAATTTGTTGATAATGATGAAATTTTGGTACTATTCAGTTTTGAGGGCTGTAAAAATTGCCAAACTATTGTTGATGCCAGTGCTGCCAAAAATAATTGCGGCAACCTTAACGCAAGAAAGGAAGTATAATAGTAAAGTAACTATTCTAAGATTGATTGTTTTAATTCAGATGAAAGGTTATTTTCATATAATACTTTTTTATTATTAATAATTTATATAAAAAAGGCTAAACATGACTGAATGGAAGCATAAGAGTAAATAACTATTTCAGGTCAACAGCAATATCACAAAAATAGCTTATCTTTAGAATTTCTGATACACAGTCTCGCACGCTGGAGATTTAAAAAAAAAAAATAAATAAAATCCCGTACAGTGTTTCGCTTTGAATTCGTTGAGGTTCTTAATCAAAAACTCATAAATTCTTTACAAAATATGAAACAGGTAATAAAACAAATTTGAAATTTGGGCTTCCAGATGCACATATTCGGGTGGAGATGTAAATTCTGAATATATTCTATTTAAAAATATTTTTTGATATTGCTGTTGAATTGAATTTTATGGTTTAAGTGCAAAGAACATGATATTTAATAAGTAAAGGTAACACACAAAATGTTAAAAAAAGACCCCTTTGGGCATAATATAAAATATGAAAGCTTGCAGATTTATATATATATATATATATATATATTATATTTTTAAGTATAGTACCTGCGTTTAGTTTCATTTTGTCCGTGGTGCTTTGTTTATTGGAAAACCAGCAAATAAAAACTGTGAGAAGTATATTAAAATTCTTGAGGTCATGGAAAAAAAAAGATTTTAGTTCAAAATGTTTGTACTGTAAATCCCTAACTACCATTTTTTCTTGTTTTTCAATACATGCCCTCATCTCATTATAGACCACCAAATCTCCCAGTTTATAATTTTTAACCTTATTCAAGGAAGAAGTTTCCAAGCAGTTAATGAAATTTAAAATGTGCAAATTCCATTTGTGACCTGTTGGGAATTTCAGCATAAGTTTTCTTATTAAATTTTATTTGATGTGAACTTTAGATATTTATAGAACCTTCTATGAAGATTCAAATAATGTTTAATCAGTTAACATTTGTATTTAATTTTGTTTTACATCAGTATATGGTACATTACTAAACTTATGCTTTTAAATATGATGAAAATAAAATTAATAGTTAATACTGGTTTATTACTTAAATAGTATTACATCGATTCTTAATTTTATTTTCATCATTTTTAAAAGTACTTTGATAAATAAAAGCTTTCCTTCCCTACTCAAATTTTTCTTGGTTATAATGTGTAAAAAAATATAACAAAATGGAATTAACCATAAAATATAAAATTTAGGATATCTAATTAAATATTAATATATTTTGCATAACATGTTGCAAATAGTTTAGTAACATAAATTATACATTATAAAATGGATTTAAGTTAATTTGGTGTATTCTTGAAATTGTGTTGATGCACAGCATGGAAAACCTCTTTATCCAGTAAATGCATGTTTTGGAGTTACCTCAGTCGGAGTGGAAAAAGGGCTCCAAGAATTGGTTCAAACACATGAAAAAGTGTATTTTATTCACGGAGAATATTGTTAAAAACAAGAAAACCAATTTCAATCATAACTATTTGGTTTTTCATTATTTGGCCAGAACTATAAATAGCAATCTTCGTATTCTTTAAAAAATAAGACAGATTTTAGCTAATGATGGTTTTAATTTTTTTTTTTTTTGTTTTTTTTTTTTTGTTTGTGTAGCTGTCAAGAAATTAGAGGGCTGTTATAAATTAAATGTATGATGCATGTTTATTATCTTAAGTTTTCACTAATAATCACTAATCCCAATTTAGTCAGACCTTATAATAAGGTCCGATACTTCTTTTACATTATAAATTTTCATTTTCTCCAGTGGTAAGTTTCATATATATTTCAGCTGCTTCATTTTTGAGTACTGAATGCTACTGTATGTACTCCTTATACATATTTCAAATATTCTATTTATACCATATTTCTTCATTGATTTGAGACTGACTAATTTCACTTTATGAGTGCAGTTTACCTAATGGTGCAATAATGAATCACAATTTATGTAATTGCAGTGTCTTGTCACTTATTCACTTTTCACCTGTGTTCCACTTTTTTCTCTGGAAGTAAAAAGAATGAGATAAAAATGTTTTGGAAGGATAAATTTAGACTCTTAAAGTTGGAGGAAAGTATCATGTAGGTGGTTTTAGGAAATATTTTTATATAGCATTGTTGTTAAATTCAGGAATTGTATTAGTAAATCAGATATAAATTTATATTTATTTTATATGATTTAGTATGGATATAAACAGTTATTAAATTAAGGATATGACTAAATCAAATCAAGGCTGCATTTTGTGTATTTAATTTTGATTTCAGTTAATTCCTGTACAGACGTAATGAGAATAAAAGGTAAAAGTATAGTTACGGGTACCCTTTGGCAAAAATTGGCGGTACATGGATGCTGATTTTGTGTACTCGTAGTTCTTTGACTTGTTATTTTGGCTTTGTGTAGCGGTGATTTTAATGCTAAAAATCGTCGCTACACAAAGCCAAAATAACAAGTCAAAGAATTGCACAAATTTGGCATTGCACACTCCCTTTATTCATGTACACGTCGTCCTATTTTCACTTAAAAAACATCAGAGAATTGCACAAACGTGGCATTGTACACTCTCTTGACTTTCTCCATGTACACATTGATATATTTTCACTTAAAATATCAAAGGAGCACCCAGTTCTACGGTAGAGGCAAACAAAAAATACATAATCTCGAAAAACTACATTTTAAACAAAAAAATGAAATAACATAAAAAAAAAAAAAAAAAAAAAACCCTCTTATGCATCTAAGCACTACACAACGCAAATATCCACTTACCTTATTTAGAAATTTCTTCATCTTCAGTCTGTGGCACACAAAACTCCTTAACAGCATCCAAAAACTTCCTAAAATTATCTGAACTCGAATCCGTATATCGGCAAGATGCAAGAGAAACATACGTACTCAAAACAAATGAGACGTATATTGGCATTGCCACATAAATTTAAAAAAATAAGAGTCAAAAATATGCTCTGTAGTTCCTGACTGTCCGGAAAATGGCTACTAAGTAAACCTTTGTTTACACACAATCAATTAATGCTCTCTTCCCCTCATTCCAATTCGCATAGAAACTTCAAATTAATCTTACTACATTCAGCCATTCTACCATCTAAACAACAGAACAAGCACTGTACTTCCTAACGAACACACACCACAAGCCCTTACAAAATATCTCATAATTCAAAATTTACTTCAGTCATGCAACCAATTACGTCATAATAGGGTTTCTATAACATTCAACTACTCAGGTTACCATAAAGGAAACAACAACTTGGTGTTAAATGAAACAACAACTTCCCGATAATACAAAGGGTACCCTTCAGTCTACTCCAACTGTATAAAATATTAATCTTTTAACAATAAATTAATTAAAAGATAATTTTATATTGTTGCTTTTTTATAGCAAACGGTATGATTATGTTAGCCATGCACGTAAATTGGCCACTAATGGTTTTAGTGATGAAGAAGAAGAGGAAGAAAATTCAGAAGAAATGGATGTAGAGGCATATGTAAAAAAACCTCCCAGGTCTTATAAAAATCAAGTAATTTACGTTTTCTCATGCTTAAATTAGTTATAAATATTTGTTTGTTTTTAGTTTATTTGTAATGGTACTTTATTTTCAAGAAAATGGTTTAGGTATTATTTTAATTTAATAATGAGAGTTTTAAATTACTGTATATTTTCGTGTTTATGCCGAGAATCTTTTCTGAAGTTAAATTATTGGGATTAGCTATATTTAGATCTGCTAATCTCGCAAAAATCATAGGTATTTTTCCATTATCCAAGTGAAAGTTATTCACTAAATATCACATTTTTTATTTCTTAAATTTATGAAAAAATTAATTTTAAATGAAATGAGTTATTTGTTTTATGCAAAAAAAGGTTTTATTTTAAAAATTGTTTATAATGCTGGTTTGTTGTGTCATTGGCAAAACAAAAGAACTGTTGGCAAATTTTGTGCTTAGCTTTCTCAACTCTTGAATTTCTTTTTCATTTATGGAGAAATGCTGAGTAGAATGTTAGATTGTTAGAATTTTCAGCAACAATGCAATCATGTGTAATTCGAAATTTGCTCTGTAAGAATTTTTTTTTTCACCTTTCAGACAAAAAATAATATAATCATAACATATGACTAGCTTTGATATCACAGATCATATACAAGCCAACAAATGAATGGAATAAATGTGCTAGTTTCAGGTAGGGTTGCCAGAGTTAAAACTATTGTTGTTAGTATTTGACATTTTAAAGTGATTTAATTGGAAGAAAAGTACACAGTTCAAATCACAGATTATTTTGTCTCAGAGAAGTGAGAGATCATGAGACATGTAATGTGACATTTTCCGGAAAATTCCGATCGTGATTTTAGCTAATAAGCAAATAGAAACAATTTCGCTGCTAAAGTGCAGAATCGCCCACTTATTTGTTTGGCCCTTTTTAAGAGTAAGAAGAATTGGATTTTTGTCAATTTTCTTTGACTTTTTAAGTGAAAATAGGTTGATGTATACATAGATAAAGTCAAGAGTGTGTGCAATGCCATTTTTGTGCAATTCTGGGATGTTTTTTCATGTGAAAATAGGTCGACGTGTACATGGATACCGTGTATGTGCAATTCTTAAAAATGCTGCAAGCAGATTGCGATTCTGCACTTTCTCCCAATTTCGCACCTAATCTTTGTCATGATTAAGCATTTTTGTTCCATAAAAGTTGTAGTATAGGTGTAATTCGGCTAGCATATTGTTGGAAAAAATGTTGAGTAAAAAAAAAGCATGCTTTTACTTCGTGAAAACAAAATGGCATCCAAAACAAAATTAGCAGGTTGCTGTAGCAGGGTTGGTTGCCAAATTTTCGCGAAAAAATCACAAAGTTACCATAATCTAAAGATTCACCGTCAACTGTGTTGTATTTTATATGTATTGGGTACGTGCTCAGTGATGATTACAAGATGTGCACAAACATCGTTTATTCTACATTACTCATCTACTATACTATATTACAGTTATGAGTAAAGATAATAATAGATACAGTTACAGTTACATATATAACATCTCCCTTTTTTATAAAAAATAATAATACTAGTAAAATTAAACATATTCTTTTAAATAATAAGGTTTCTTAACAGTCCTACCAGATCGAGTGACGTAGTTATGTCCATTTGAAAAATTTGATGATACTATACCTCTTTCACTATTTGGTGACACAACACTTCTGTTAGATTTTGAATGACTTACAGGCACATCTAAATTTGTAGTGCTCCTACTATTTTCATGTATCTCGGGTTCATCTATAACTTCATTCTCATAGTTGTTTTGTATTGCAAACTCTTCCTGATTAGTTCCTTTAAAAAGATCTCTTCTGTTCCTTTCTACAATTCTTCCATCTGTTCTTATAATCCTATATGAATGTGGTCTTTCTGCTTCTATAATTTTCCCTCTTTCATTTAGTTTTTTCCTTTTCTCTTTTATGTAAACATGATCTCCTGTTTTCAGTCGTTTTAATGGTCTTGCATTCCTATCATAATAACTTTTTTGTAAGGTTTGTCTCTTCAGTAAATGTTGTTTATGGTCTTCATATCGTTTAGCTTGGACAAAATTCTCTTTTATAGGCATCAATCCATTTACTTTTCTTTCAAACATCAACTCAGAAGATGACTTAATTTCATCTGAAATAGGAGAGTTACGATATTCCAGTAAAACTAAATATGGATCTTTGTTGTCAACTACAGCTTTTTCTAACATTCGCTTGACAGTTTGAATATGTCTTTCAACCATTCCATTAGACTGTGGATAATTTGGACTTGAAGTTCTGGTTTCAAAATTCCATCTTCGTGCAAAATCTTTATATTTCTTGCAATTATATAGTGGACCATTATCCGAATATACTATTTCGGAATACCATGTCTTGCAAAAATTGATTTCAATTGCTTTATCCACTGCTACACTTGACAAATCTTCCAAATGACCAATTTCAACCATATTTGCTAAAATAATCTATAACTATTAGATAATCCCTTCCTTGAAAGTAAAAGAGGTCTGTTCCCAATACTTCCCATGGACCATTAGGTATTTCTTTAGATATCATTGGTTCTTTAGTATTAGCTTTTTGTAAACTTAAACATGTTTGACAATTCAGTACCAAATCTTCAATTTCTTTGGATTCATTCCTGGCCAATATAATATTTCTCTTGCTTTGATCTTGCATTTTACTACTCCTAAATGACCGATAATGAATTCTGCTTAACATATCTTTTCGTAAACTTCTTGGTACAACAACACAGGAATTTTTAAATATTAATCCATTTGCTTCTGATAGTTCTTCTCTGAAGTTAAAATATGGTTTTGCCAGTTCTGGAACCCATACATTTTTCATCTGGCCATCCAGTTTTAATTAATTTTTCTTAAAACTTGTAGTTCTTCATCTTTTTCTGTTTCCAGTTGAAAAACTTCCATTTTACCATTAGACATTGGTATACATTCTACAACTATCCAACATGAGCTTTCTATTTCTCCTTCAAAGAAATCAGATCCTTTATCAGTAAATGATCTTGATAATGCATCCGCTATAAAAAGTTCTTTTCCTAGTTTATATTTTACCTCAGACTGATATGGCTGTAATCTTATACGCATTCTTTGTAGTCTTACAGGGCATTTATTTAATGGCTTTTTAAAAATTGATTCCAGTGGTTTATGATCACTTTCCACAGTAATATTTTTTCCAAATATATACTGGTGAAATTTCTCACACGCAAATACAATAGCTAAAGTTTCCTTTTCAATTTGAGCATAATTCTTCTGTGTATCTGTTAATGCCTTAGATGCATATGCCACTGGTAAATTATTCTGCAGTAAGACTGCTTCCTAGTCCTGAGCTGTGAGATGCATCTACAGATAAAACTACTGGCATGTTTATATCATAATACTGTAAAACTGGTTACTAAGACATCTTTTAGTCCCTAGGAAGATTACTACGAATTCATTCCTTAGACTTCTATGAATCTCAAATGCTTTTTCATGTGTTGCATTCCAGTTCCAGATAACTTGTTTTTTCCAATTTCATTAAGTTTTTCAACAAATCCCTTAAAGCATGATGTCAATTCTGATACATTAGGTATAAATCTAGAAACACATATGTAATCATTCCTAGTAAAGTTTCTAATTCTTTCACATTTTTTGGTGGTTGTATATCTAGAATAGCCTTAATTTTGTCTTCATCTGGTTTTAAACCATCTTTAGAAAATATATGTCCCATATATTTCACTTCATTCAGCCCAAATTTACATTTATTTAAATTTAATTTAACATTCTTTTCTCTGGCTCTGTCCAACAACTTCTTTAATCTTGAATCATCTTCTTTTTTATCTTTACCCCAAACTAATAAGTCATCTATATATATTTGAACTCCTTCTAAATCACTAAAAATTTCAGAAAAACTTCTGTGGAAAACTTCTGGTGATGAACTCAGTCCATATGGCAACCTCAAAAAACAATATCTACCAAAGAGTGTTAAATGTAGTAAATTCACAACTTGAATCTGACAGTTTAATTTGCCAAAATGCTTTGTTTGCATCTAAAATACTAAAGACCTTTGCATTTGGCATTTGAGATGAAATTTTTTCAAAGGTTGGTATGTGATAATGTTCTCTCAGTATATTTTGGTTAAGGTGCTGAGGATCTAAACACACTCTTAAATTTCCATCATTTTTCCTTACTACCACTAATGAATTCACGAATTCTGTTGGTTGGTTAACTTTCTTTATAATACCATCTTTTTCCATTCTTGCTAATTCCTTTTTTAATGGATTTAATAAGCTAAGTGGAATTTTCCTACAGGGTTCTATTTTACCAACAGCTCCTGGTTTTAATTTAATATGATATGTATGTCCAGATAAGTTCGCAGTTCCTTTAAACAAATCTTGATATCCTTTTAAAAGTTCTGGTAACTTTTCATTAGAATCAGGATTTACTGTACAAATCCTTTGTATTAAGTTTAATTTTTGCAATGTAGGTAAACCTAAAATAGCTGGAACAGTTTTATCACATGCTACAACTTGAAATTTTATTTCATCCTTGTCCCCTTTCGATGTTTCACATAATAATTAACATTTTCCAACTACATCAATTGTAGCACCATTGTAATTATTTAAAGTGACTTTTGATTTAGTCAAACATTTCTCTCATAAATTTAATTGTTTAAATTTAGGCAATGGTAGCACATTATACTGAGCTCCAGTATCCAACTTAACAAATAAATATTTAGATATGTTTACTTTTAGTTTTTCAAACCATTCGGTTTTATTTTTAGAAAATGGATTTATATCTTCTACCGACCCTAAAATATATTCATTACCATTATTATGTAACTCATGCTCTAAATTATTCTGTACAACATTAACATTTTTAAAAGTGCACATTTTAGAAAAGTGATTTTTCTTTTTACAGTACAAGCAAATCTTATTATAAGCAGGACAGTTGTATAACTTATGAAAAGTTCCACATTTTCTACATGGTTTTGGATTATTGTACTTATTTCCTTGATAGTTTGAAG